TGAAAATATCCATAATTAATAGTAAATTAATAGTTTAAACCAAATCTTTCCTTTGTTTCTATCCTAGTTGCACATTGAAAGCTACAGCAACATTGTTGTTGTTGTTAAGTGCCAGAGAGTCGGTTTCGACCCATAGCGACCCTGAATAGGGTTTCCGAGGCTGTAAATCTTTACGGGAGCAGATCACCTCATCTTTCTCCCGCGGAGCAGCTGGTAGTTTCAAACTGCTGACCTTCCGGTTCGCAGCCCAATTCGTAACCACTATGCTACCAAGATTAACTCTTATCAAAAGTCCTAGATAAGCTGCAGGATAAGCACTAGAGTGCTAAATGCTAGGTCAGTATTTCAAACTCACTAGCCACTCTTTGGAAATCCTATACTAGGTCACTATGAGTTGGGACTGACTCCATGGCACATAACGAACCAACCAAGGTAGTATTAGCTACTTCACTGAAGTTATGCTGAGTAAAATAAAGTGGCTGAGTAAAACAAAGAACAACAGATTTACCACTTTCATCAAGCCTGATGCTTTATTTGGATTTCCTGCATTTTAAAAATCTGTGACAGTTAATATGACAAAATAAAAACAAATCCCACTGATTTCTGTTTGCTAATAGCTCTTTATTCATAAAATAGGTCCATATTTTTTAATTCTATGTTATTACAACAAACAAATACAATCAAGTATAAGCACTTTAACAGGCTATGGGATTTCTATTTGTTTTAAAGACATCTATACACCTGTGGTGCTACAGGATAAGTACTAGACCACAAAGTCGGTTTGAACTGCAAGATTGGCAGTTCAAATCCACCATCTGCTCCTCAAAAACCTTAAAAAGGTTTGCTATGAGTCAGAACCAACCCGACAACACTTAACAACAACGAATCCCTGGTGTGCTGCTATAAGAGTTAAGCACTAGACTGCTAACCACAAGTTCAAACCCACCAGTTGCTAAGCCGGTATGAACCAACTAGATAGCACTTAACAATAACACTATACACCATAAGAATTTTTTTTTCTAATTAAAATCAAAATTACTCCTACAAATTCCGTGGTCAATAAAACAACGAAACAATAAATTTCATCTATTATTTATTTTGTACAATACTGACTTGATTATGAAGACTCTATTCATATCATGTATCCTTTCATACCATATTTTCCTCATATCTTCCTTCTTCTATTATTGATTTATATTATTGTTAAAGTTAAGTTACCCCTAACTAATTAAATGGTTTTATTAACCCAGGAAAATACAAAAGCCTAGTGTTTTAGCAACTTAAATAGTTTTTAAAAAATGTTTAAGGATTTATTTTTTTACATTAACCAAATAGTAGTTCTTTTGGAGCTTCAAAAGAAAGACACATATAAATTTTAACAAATCATATCTCAACTACAATATGGATAGGAAATATTCTGACCTCAGAATCAGAGTCTTTTAGTCCTTCCTGGTAATGGCAACCGTCAGAAATACCAACCTAAAAAATAAATGTCTCCTGTAAGAGAATATCTCTGATGACAGTTTCCAAATAGCACCAATAAATACAGAAAAAGAGTAATCCAACAAGTAAGTTTTATCTTTTCAAGTTTGTAATTTGATACCTAAACAGTACTACTGGGCAGTGTTTCATTTTGTTGTGTATAAGCTCACACTCAGCGGCACCTAACAACATTCATTCCTAAAGTTGAAATGCAACAAAAGATCAGAAAAACCTTAAGAAAGTATACATTATACATTATAATTAACCGACCTGTTCAAGCATGGGTAGAAAATTAACTTTTTGTAAAGCAGGATCTGCAAGACAAAAGATAACTAGTATTAACGATGTCAGTCTTATTTTTTTATTATTAAGTATTCTATCTATTTTTAAGGGGTCAAGGATATCAATATAACATGTTATATTTTCAATAATGAATAGCATATATACTAAAATGTTTCTATGTAAACTGATGTATTGATTTTCTAGTCTCCTACCTGAATCTACGTTTTCCCCATTTTTGGAGAGATTAGTCATTGCAAATGGCAAACCAAAATCATCTTCAATACATTTGTTGAAATTCTAGAAACAGAGACAAAAAGTTCTTTAACATACTGTCGCATTATTTTATGAGCAGGGCTTAGATAAGTGACTATTGTTGTAAACCCTATAAAGTATTTACAGTGTTTAAAATATCAACCAAATGTTTTTGCTAGGTGTTATGGACTGAACTATGTCACAAAAAGATGTGTGCCAACTTGGCTAGGCCATGATTCTCAGTATTATATAACTATCTTCCATTTTGTGATCAAATCATCTACAAATCCTCACCTTGATGATGTTAATAAGGAAGAATTAATCAGTTATATAGAAGCAGAATGCAATTTATAGGATTAGGTTGTATCGTTTCTGAATCTCTTTTGTTAAACTGTTGTTGCTGTTAAGTGCCCTCAAGTCAGTTTGAACTCGTATCAGCCCTGTATAGGTTTCAAGGGCTTGAAATATTCAAGGGAGCAGACAGCCTCATCTTTCTTCTGTTGACCAGCTGGAGGGCTTGAATCACAGACTTTGTGGTTCACAGTTCAGTGTTTATGGTATAGAAGGGATTAAACAATCAAGCAGAGACCAGAGGGACCTACTACTGCCAAGAAAGAAGAGCCAGGAATGGAAAACATTCGTTGGACCCAGGGACCCTGCACTGGGAACCTTCTAGACCCAGGGGAAGATTGATGCCAAGACACATTGAAATCTCCAAGGAATGTTGTGCCTACAGATATCCAAAAAGAGACAAAGACCTATAAACTAAGAGTCAGCATACAGACAAAGCCTTCTCCTAGAGCTGACACCCTGAATTCAAATTTCTAGTCTCCTAGGGAGTCCTGGTGTGACGCTGTGGGTTAGTGCAACCAGACTGCAAAGCTGCTGAACTGCAAGGTTGGTGGTTCAAACTCACCAGCTGCTCCTCAGAAACCCTATACAGGGTTTCTATGGGTCAGAACCGACTCAACAGCACTTAACAACAACAAGGAGTCCTGGTGTGGTGCTACTGGTTAATGTGCTAGACTGCAAGGTCGGCGGTTCAAGCTTACCATCTGCTCCTTGGAAACCCTATACAAGATCTCTATGGATGGCACTGACTGAAGGCACTTAACAACAACAACAACAACAACAAACTCTGAGAGAATAAATTTGCTGGTTGTTTAGCATTCTATTTTGTTAGAGCCGTTCACTTATGGTATTTGTTATAGTAATACTAGATAACTAAGACACTGTGTAAGCAAAGCAAAAAATGTAGATAGGTATTTTCACTTATAGAATGAAACCAAACTATAAGCTATAGAATGCTTTCTAAGTATTCTATGTGAATAACAGTAGTTTTAGCTAGTAGTTTAGACAATATTAGAAGTTTCTCTAATTTCATTCTGGCCTTTCAGTTGATAGAATTGAGAATCATCATCACTGAATAATGCTTTAATTTTATACCAATGGATATAGCACCTGTAAAAAAAATTAAACAGCATATGAAATTAAAAGTCATTACATCATTCCATTTACAAATAAAGTACTATATAAAAACAAATGTTAAGTAATTCGTTAGCAGAAATAGATCTGTTTACTCTGAGAAACTTGGCATGGTTCTTCCTTGAGAATTCTATGTTTATAAATGAATTTGTTTCCCATTTTGTCCTGCCAACCAGGAAGTTCAGAACCCAATTTAAAATTCAGTCATAACCCTAGTTTTTAGCATATTTTTAGTTTAGGCATATTTGTAGTTTCTTTGTCCTTGATTCTATCTGACTTCTAATTTACATTTGACTATTTCATCATACATGTCTAATAAACTACTTCAAATCCTTTATGGAAAGAGGGGAGTTAACATAATGTATGCAGAATTCTACAGCATTTATTTAAATGAATGATGCCTACACACAGTAAAGAAGCTCATTACTCATGTTATTCAAATTTCTTGAGTAAGCTAAACCCTATTTGCTGAAAAAAAAATAAGTACAAAATACTATCACTAAGAAAACACACTTTGTTTCATTTACTAAAGTCAAATCAAGATCCATATGCAAATTTACCTTGTAGAAATTAGAATCTCCTCCCAAGGTCTGAGGTTTCACAGCAGACACCTGACTACTGCTTAACCTTGGTGGTACAAACAATTTAAAGGGTTTTTGTTTTTCCATCTTCTCTCTTCCCGTTGGAAATATCTATGGCTCTAAATAAGGGAGGGGAGGGGAAAGCGTTTTACGTTGCTTCATCAAAACACTGTTCTTTACAGAGTGATGACATTTGTCTAAAATACGGTTATAAAAGGAATTAACGTAATCCTTTCTCTTGTGCTTGCTTGTGAAAAGCAAAAGCACAGACTAACCTCATCGTCCACAAAGTATCAGAATTTGAAGCTACAGAAGTAAAGAAACGTGGAAATGTACCAGAAAAGAGAAATCAACATTTTTAAACAAAAAGTTACTTTTCCTAAAGTTTCTTATTCAAACAAAGAATCTGCTAAAATATGAGAAAACAACTGATCATGAAAAATACACAAAAACAGTGGCATCTTTTTACAAAATATAACGCAAAACGAATTCAAGCGGCGTCACGGAAGGGACTAAAGGCGATCAACAGTCAAACACCCTTGTTTATTCCCAGCACCAATCGGGCATTTTGGCGACTGAGGTGGCCAAAATTCTCGAACAGCCTGAAAAGAAAGTCCTGTATCTTCACTAGCACTAATGCAAGTCACCAGGAAAACGGTCTTAATTTTCTTAAGATGACTGTGGATTTCTGCATTAAGGAGGCGCAGCAACAAAATATCGTTCCAGCTCTAGGTTCCCTACTCAGACAAAAAAAAACAAAAAGTGAACAAAACTGCCCTGACTTTGAAAGAACCACGGGCTCGGGGCCCACACGAGCTGCTACCTGCTATTTGCTAGCTCAGCAGAAAGACCCTACAGGAGCTTGTGCCTCGGAATCTTAAGAAAGGCGGAAGTCGAGGATCACCAATGGTTTAACGGTTATCTAACGGTCAACCGCGAGACTTTTGAAGACCCTTTTCTCGCGATATTTCTTATGACCCTGGTAACCGTTCTTCCCTGGATTCTATTTTCCTTAAGTGTTGACGTTCCTTCAGGTTCTATGATTGTCAAAGAATTCAAGCGAAAAATGGGTCAGATACTCTGACAGGCTGGAACTTACAATGAAAATATCGTGTTTATCCTCCAAGAGCTCACAGTTTTAGGAAGGAAACAGATGTGGAAACAATTAAACTGCAGTGTAAACATTATTTTTTAAATGGTGTTTTCCAAGGCTCCTGAAACCGTACATAAAGTTGGTTTGAGGAATCAGGAGAGAGGCTTTACACATGTGGTATTTCTGCTAGTGCTTCAGTAAAAATCGAAGAGTGAATGGAAAGTTGTCCATAGTCAACGGAGAAAGAGTATTCCTGAGGGAAAATGAGCATTCAAGTTATGATGAATAGATTCGTACGAGTTATTTCCAAGAAATATTATGTAGTTGCAGTAACAGATGTGTGAGGAAGAGGTGGAAAACGAGAAAAAATAAGGCTTGAAACTTCGAAGATAGGAAAGCCTGGCAAAAGCTTTTGAAATTTAGCCAATTTGTGTGGGAATGTTAAAGACACTTGAGTGGAAAGGATTACGTACACAGGTTCAAAAGATAATGTGTAGTATGAAGAATGTTTTAGGTTTAGGTAACTGGAGGCAAGGAGACAGTCTAAACAGCCTGAAAAAGACATGAGGGCCTAAGCTATTGGTGATGAATTATTGTAAGTAGCCATGGAGCCAACTCCAATTCATAAAATGTCCCCTTGCATAAAATGTCAAACGTAAAAAGATTTGAAAAAAAAACATAGATGTTTGCCTAATTTCCATCTTGGATAAGTAGGTACATAAATATGTCAGTGCTAAATACCTAGGTTTGGGTAATAATATAATGGATTCAGTTTGAGACACTGATTTTGTCTCCACATAACATAATAATTGTATAATGGATACTTTTTTTTAAGCAGTTAAGCAATATTTTTAAATAATCCATTTTGTTTATATAAATTTAATTTATGAGATATAATTGGTTCTGCTAAAACTACATTTTTTAACTGGAAAGGATTTATGAATGATCCAGTATAACTCTAATTTACATTTTGAGGAAATTGAAACCCAGAAAAATGTAGTCATGGTCTATCTAAGTCCACATACTATACAGAAGTTATTTCTTCCAAGAGACAATACCAGGAATATGCACAAGATACCCCCAGCAGTAATAATTAAGCAGATATACTTAAATATGACTTTATAAAACTTTTTATTGTTATTTGGATGAAAGTTTACAGAGCAAATTGGTTTTCCATTCAACAATCCATACATGTTTAGTTTCATGATATTGATGCAAGCCCCACAATGTAACAGCACTCTTCCCAATTCCTTCCTTGGGTTTTCCATTCCCATTTTCTTACCCCTTCTTACCCCTTCTTGCCTTCTGAGCTTTATCCCCCAGCAAATGCTGCCCTTTTGATTTGTGTGGTTGATTGTTCTAAGGAGTGCATACCACAGACATGAGTTCAATTCCAGGCTTGAAGAGTGTCTAAAGACCACGGTCTCAGGGGTTCCACCAGACAGTCTCTCTCAGACCAGTAAGGCTGGGGTTATTTTTGTTTCGCTTTTGTGATTTTGAATTTTGTTTCACATTTTCCTCCCACTCTAGTCAGGACCTCTTTTGTGATCCCTTTCAGAATGGTCAGTAGTGGTAACGTATTTTTCTTCTGGTCTTGAAGAATGAGATTTGAGTGGTCCATGAGTTCTCGAAACTAATTGTTTCTAAGCAGCTTTGATTTTCTTCACACTTCTTTACTCCAAACAAGGAGAGACCAGTAGCTGCACCTTACTTAGATGGCTGTTCAGAAACTTTTAAGACCCCAGTTACTACTCACCAAAGTAGGATGCAGAACACTGTCTTTGTGGACTATATTATGCCGATTGACCTTGACTGTCCCCTGAGACTCTAGTTCTGAGCCCTTAGGTCCAGCAACTCAAGGTGTTTGGTTATGGCTAAGAAGTTTACATAAGTTTGCTTTTTGTATGCTCTACTATATTCACGAATATAATTGTTGTTGTTGTTAGGTCCATCAAGTCAATACCGATTCATAGCGACCCTGTGTACAACAGCACACATAAATATATAGAGAGAAATATCCTCTGTCAAACTGTTACCAAAAATGAAGTCCATGCTCTGGAGCAACATAGTCAATAAACACACTCCCAGGTAGAGTAGAAAAGAAAGCTTTTTAGGCAGTGATGTAGGAGCTGATATGGACAAGGAATCCAGCAGAGTCTATGTCTGCTAACCACAGATTCCTGCAGAAAGCTCAGAGTACAAGCTTTTTATGTTTTGTCAAAACTGATAGCCACACTTCTATACATTCCATTTTCAAGGACAGTGGTATTTTGATTTATGAAAGGAAAAAAAAGAAAACATTTAATTAGCTCCAAATTTTATCTAACAAAAGTGTCTACTGCAGCTGTAGGTTTTATGCGTAGCCTAGAGGAGGAGATGTCAGCTCCAGGCATGTCCAGTTCTTCTCAAGGCTAACCGTTTTTGGAATATTATATGTTAGAATCTGGTAAAGTCCTGGTGTGGTATCATAGGATAAGCAATCAACCTCAAGGTCAGTTTGAACTGCAAGGTTAGAGTTCAAACTCACCAGCCTCTCCTCAGAAACTCTTACAGGATCTCTATGAGTTGGAATCAACTCGACAGCACTAAACAACAATGACATATTAGAAACTAGCATTCTCAGCACTTGGTCTGCTGGATCTTCATAATAATTTTATACATTTAGCCATCAAAACACATATAGATATTGTAGATGTAGTACCCTTTACCTTCCCACGCCTGTTCAGCTTGCATGCCTATGTATGTATCTGTTGTTGTTGTTGTTGTCAGGTGCCATCGAGTCGGAACCGACTCATAGCGACTTCATGCACAGCAGAACGAAACAATGTTCGATCCTGGGC